CTTTGGCACTGCCAAATCAGGTGTTATTTTAACGCCACACTATAGGTGTTAAATCAACTCTTAAAACTGGTGTCACTTTAGCACTTAAAAGTGGTGTTGGTTTAACACTATAAACAGGTGTTAAATTAACCCCAAAAACTAGTGCTAATTTAACACTAAAAATGGGTGTTGTTTTAGCACCATATCTAGTGTTATTTTAACACTTTTTTGTGGTGTTAAAATAGCAACAAAAAGTAGTGTCATTTTTTACCTAATTTTTTAACACCACTTTTTGGTGTTATTTTAACCGGGTGTTGTTTTAGCACCATATCTAGTGTTATTTTAACACTTTTTAGTGGTGTTAAAATAGCAACAAAAAGTAGTGTCATTTTTTACCTAATTTTTTAACACCACTTTTTGGTGTTATTTTAACACCCTAAAATTAACAGTGCACTATCTAGTGTATATAAGATATCTATGGTTACGACATAGCTAACTATATGCCTTTTAATAGATTCTTAAGTTTTCACCTTTGATACGATAATCCCGGGTATTGCATGCCGACTATATTGCTTTGATTATATATCAATCAAAATTTCTGTCAATTCTATTCTGTCTATTACAGGCTTCGTTAAAATTAACAGTATATGATGAGTAACTATAAGCACTTACCGAGCAGATAAACAATTATCTATCATCACAAAGCGACGTAAGCAAAGCTAATACCAGCTATATTTGTATTCTGATAATGAATTGTGCAGATCACCAAGCAGTAGGATACGTTGACGAAAATCAAACTATTTTCTTCTCAAACATAAACTTTTAATTATATATAAAGTCACCAAGTCAGTTTGAAAAGATGTGGGACAAGTGTGCTCTAGCGTTTATTAATCAGCTTGAAATAGCACGACCAATTTCTAAAGCTCAGTGGGATAAATTTTGGTGTATGAGAGATTTCGATTCTTATTCAAATGTGTTCCCGTTCCTTCAGTTTCTTATAGGGTTGAGGAATTTTGCTTTTCTAAGGATTTTTTCCCTTTTGCTGAAAATATTAATATAATCTGTGGCGAAATACTAACTGTTAATTGTTCAACTTATTCAAAACGGTTTTTGGGTGGTGAATTAAGGGAAACGCAGGTCAGTCGTTCAAAAGTCGACATTGAAAGGTTTATATTTAGTTCTCAAAGCAAGCAACATACAACAAACAGTTCAGTTCAGAAGGCGGAATATCTGTACTTTGTCCTGTCTCTTTTATATTTTCTATTGTCTTATTCTATATCTGCATTCTGTTTGTCGATTTCTGTATGTCAGCCGACCAGTAACTGATCTGAAAACTGAACTGGATAATGCATGAATCAAGCCAATGGCGGTCCAGTCTCGTACCCAGAGCATGCCCGTTCGCAGGTTAGGGATCGACGTGCATGCTCTGCATGGTAAGAAATTGATAGCGGCCACAATGCAGTGACTACCACAACTTCAATGGTGATACATTGGAACAGATTGGTCATAATTTATTGCTGGGAAAGATGCATATATTGTCTGGACAAAAAATGTTCATCATTGGCTTCTCCTAAGAGGAAGTTTCGTTTCTTTCAGAAGTCACATATTAAAAAGACATTTGCTTAATATTTGAAAATACATTTGCTTTAAGCCGCGACTTATTTTCGCTCGTATAAATGGCCCTATCATTTAGCAATTAGCTATCACAACATGAAGGGAGCTCTGAATTTCTAAAGCTCAGTGGGATAAAATATCATTGAAGAGAGACTTCAGTTCTTATTCAAATACGTTTAGCTGGTTAGTGTTAATGAATTTGCTTCTCTAAGCGAGGTTTTCGAGTTCTCATTTTCTGATTCAGAGTGAGTTTGTATTTAAAAGTCAAACCACACATAGCTATGTGTTCCCTCCTTATTAATCTGGTTTAAGTAAATGAATGCGACAAAGCCCAGTCCAATTTCATTCACGAGCAATTAACGTTTCGACACTGTGTATAGTTGATCTGATCAGGATGGAAGTATAACGAGTACTAGTGGCTTTCGTAAAGAGTTTTTTTCGTGTTATATATATGTAGCCATATGTGATGGTAAAATAATTTTCTTCACCGTGCGTGATGTGGTCGCGAGAATAACGTCGATTTATTAGTTATTCTTGGTGCACATTTTTCGCATGCGGCAACCTTGATTTTAGATTTGGTACGTTCTTCAATGATGTTACGGATAAGTATTGTACGTTATTTTACCCAAAATTAAATGCTCAGCCAAACAAACGTATGGCATGGAATTTTATATAATGATATATTGGGCCAGTATTATTGAGTACATTGGTAAACCCTTGGCTATAGGCCTGATCTACAGGTTTTCCACAGAACTTAAAAGAGAAGTATTATAAGGAACTTACTACGACCCAATAATTTCATTTACGACATGACTATATACCTTTTATAAATGGATTCTCAAGTTTTCACATTTGATACAATCCTGGGTATTGACTATTATTGCTTGGTAATTATATCAATATATCAAAGTTTCTGTCATTTCTATTTAGTATATGATGAGTAAGCACTTACCGAGCAAATAAACAATTATCTATATCATCCCATGCAAAGCGACATAAGCCAAGCAAATACCAGCTATTTGTACTCTGATAAAAAACTGTACATCAGTAGAATAAGTTGACGACGATCAAATTACTTTCTTCTCAAACATAAACTTTAGTATAAAACTTACGAATTTCGAAAAAGTTATAAGATGAATGAAAATATGTTCTAGCGTTTATTAATCAGCTTTGGAGCACGACCAAGTTCTAAAACTCGGTGGGAGAGATTTTAATTTTTATGCAAATACGTTCAGCTTGTTAGCGTGTGGAATTTTCTTTTTTAAGCAGCGGAATTTCCAAAATGTCCGTGTAATAGAGGTGACTGTATATAAAAAGGCCACATCAATTTGATTAAGTTGTCATATATAGAAAAAGTACCATTATTTATGCACATGCAAGGGGACTGAAACTTTATAATAGTAAGACTAAATTAAGATAGTGTTTAATATATAATGTTCAGTTCCTCTTTCGTTTTCTTCGATGGCGTCTGTCTTGTTTTGTCGTTTGGGCTTCAGCTTTGAACTTCCTTGCTTATTCTGCTTCCATTCTGTATCCACGAGCTGTGCATTTAATCCACTCTGCGTGACTAAGGTTGAGCTACTGACTATAAGGTTGAGCTGGGTACCTCAAACTCCAAAGCTATAATTATTTATTTTTTGCCGTATATAATATTCTGCAATATTCTGCTTCTTACCCCAAAAATATTCTGCTGTAACATAAGTAAGAACCTCTAAGGAATTTTAGTTTTGAATTTATAGATGTAGTTCTATTTATAGCTACAGGTTCGTCGCTAGAGGCGGGGATGAGGTGGTGACACCAACGTCAAAAATTAACTTACATCCCCCCCCCCCCATTTAAATAGGGCTAGCGACGCCCCTTTCACACAGAGCCTGAAATAACGGCCGGCGGTTTTCCGACCAAATTCCGATTTTTCCGACCAAATGCTGAAATGATCGGAAATTTTGTCCGGCCAAATTTTGAGAAAAAAGAAAAATGTTTTCTTAATGATCGGGTCGGTGCTCAGCACAGTGAGTACCATCTGTAAGTTTAGATTATCTATATTAGGCTAATATAAAGTAATCAACTGGAAAGTATAGTTCACGGGCAGCCTAGTCCCTGGCCTTCCAAGCGCGGACGAGTTACAGGCTGTCGTGAACTTGCGGGCTGTCAGTTTCCCCAGTCTCCAAATAATACAGCTTTATCACGGTCAACCTGCAAACCTTATCAATTTCCCCCTAAAATAATGAGGCGGAAGCGAGAAGGCCAGGAACTAGGCTGGTTCACGGGCTCAATAGACAAGAAGGTGGCTTACAGCGTGGTGTTGTCGTGAAAATGTGAGGTGAGTCTTAATAATTTGCAATTTAAATCACCCGTCAATCAATTTAAAACACCCGTCGGCTCACGACCATTTTGAATTTTCGCTACAGTTACAATTACCTTACACA